TGCCAGCTCCCCACCCCCGCAGCCACCACCGGCTCTGCGACAGCGCCCTCTGTTCTGAGAAGCCAGCCAGCTCGTGGAGGCGTGCAGAAGAAATGCTGTATTGCCCTATTATAAGAAGCAATCAAAAGATAGTGTACGGTACTAGACACTGCAGTACGCAAATGTGCGGGGGCCACCCCCTCCACCAGCCGAAATGCTCAGTGGCCGTGGTGGCAACAAGGTGTGGTGCCCCTGCGATGCAGCAGCCCCCAGCACAGGCCATGGGCCGTGTGGTTTGTCCAGGAGACAACGGTCTGTCCTCAGGCAAGTTGCGAACAAAGCATGATACAAGCTTCCCTTGTTTTGACACGGCAGGTGCACTTCCTGGACAAGTTGGAAGTCAGTGAAAGTTGACCTTCAGTTCTTTGTGTTCATGACACAGGAATGAGGACTGGCCAGGGTTTTGTCCTGGAAGTAGGGCTGCAATCACCAGCTGTAAAAATACTGAATTCCTGTTTTTTTTTTTTTTTCTTAAGATGCATTTTATTTTTATTGGACAGACAGATATACAGAGAGTAGGAGAGATAGAGAGGAAGATCTTCGGTCCGGCGGTTGACTTCCCAAGTGACTGCATTGACCGGTGTTGAGCCGATCCAAAGCCAGGAGCCAAGAGCCTCCTCCAGGATGCAGAGTCCCAAGGCTTTGGGCCGTCCTCGACTGCTTTCCCAAGCCACAAGCAGGGAGCTGGATGGGAAGCAGGGCTGCCGGGATTAGAACTGGTGCCCATATGGGATTCTGGTGCGTTCAAGGCGAGGACTTTAGCCACTAGGCCACGCCGCTGGGCCCTGAATTCCTGGTAATAGCAGAGTCGGGGACGTCCCATAATGAGTGGTCTGCTTTAGGCTCTGGAGGGTCAAATGAATTTGGTCTTGCAGGGCGGGTTCTGCCGACTCATAGCTTAGTTGACGCTAATGATGCGAACTATGTTACAATGTGGTAAGAGTGACTAGAGCTTTAAATATATTTAGGATTAGGGAATACTAAGAAAAAACATTTTTAAGTAACCTTAAGATTTGTTGGGGCCGGTGCTGTGGGATAATGGTTCAAACCACTGTCTGGGGTGCTGGCAGCCCGTATGAGTGTCGGTTTGAGTCCCTGGCTGCTCTGCTTCCACTCCAGCTCCCTGATGATGGCCTGAGGAGGCAGCAGAGGATGGACCAAGTGTTTGGGCCCTGTACCCATGGGGAAGAAACTCTTGGCTCCAGGCTTCAGACTGGCGTAACTCTGGCTGTTGAGGCCATCTGGAGGATGAACCAATGGCTAGATCTCTCTCTCTCTCTGCATCTCTGCCTTTCAAATAAATAATCTTTTTAAAAAAGAGTTACAGAAAGAGATCTCCCATGCTCTGGTTCACTGTCCAAATGGCTGTAATAGGAGGGGCTGGGCCGGTCTGAAGCTTGGAGTCAGGAATTCCATCCTGGTCAGGCGCCAGGGTAGAGTGGTCCAAGTAACTGAGTCATCCCTTGCTGCCTCCCAGGATGCAATAGCAGGGAGTGGATCAGAAACGGAGATACTGGGACTCTGCCTGGCTCTCTGACATGGGATGCTGGGTTCACAAGCTGCGGCTTGACCCACTGTGGCGGCCCCAGTCAGCACCTGCGCACGGGCTCAGTGGGGGCATCCTGAGATCGGGGTGTGCAAAGCCTGACTCCTCATCACCTGAGCCCCTGCTGGTAGCCACAGCAGCTGCAGATGGTGTGGGAGGAGGTTGGCAGGTGGCCAGGGATGTGGGGACATGGGGGCGACCCTGGTGAAGGGACAGGGCTCCTGGCTCTTGGGAGGTGGGCTTGGGATACAGCAATTGATCCACTTGGGCTCTGCTCCCTGGCTCAGCTTGCTCCGCCCTCCGTTCACCCGCTTGGCTGCCCTACTTGAGTGGTTCTGCAGTCGCCGGCCCAGCATTCAGAAGGAAGGGCAATGCTGGAGGGCCGGAGCGGTGGGTGTGAGGTTTCCTTTACATGCCTTTCATTATTAATGAATGAAACGTGGCCTAGAGTGGCATAGCAAGCTAATTCTCCTCCCGCAGTGTCAGCATCCCCTAATGGGTGCTGATTCGTGTCCAGGCTGCTCTACTTCTGATCCAACTCCCTGCTTGTGGTCTGGGAAAGCAGCAGAGGGTGGCTCAAATCCTTGGGACCCTGCAACCTCATGGGAGCCCTGGAAGAAGCTCCTGGCTTCAGCCTAGTCTCTCCGCCTTTGTGGCCCTTTAGGGAGTAAACCACAGGATGGGTGACCGCTCTCTTCTCTTTGCAACTGCCTTGCTAATAAAACTAAATCAACCCTTAAAGAAATTATTTCAAAATTTTTTTTTATTAGAAAGGCAGATATACAGAGAGAAGGAAAGACAGAGAGGAAGATCTTCCATCGATAGTTCATTCTGCAAGCGGCTGCAATGGCTGGAGCTGAGCTGATCAAAAGCAAGGAGCCTGGAGCCTCTTCCAGGTCTCCCATGTAGGTGCAGGGTCCCAAGGCTTTGGGCTGTCCTTGACTGCTTTCCCAGGCCACAAGCAGGGAGCTGGATGGGAAGCGGGGCGCTGGGATTAAAGCCGACATCCATGGGGATTCCGGCATGTACAAGGCAGGGACTTTAACCACTAGGCTACTGTGCCGGTCCTATAAATAAATTCTTTTTTTTAAAAGATTTATTTTTATTTATTTATTTTTTTTATGGGAAAGGCGGATATACAGAGAGGAGAGACAGAGGGGAAGATCTTCCGTCTGATGATTCACTCCCCAAGTGAGCACAACGGGCCGATACTATGCCGATCCGAAGCCAGGAGCCTCTTCCTGGTCTCCCACGCAGGTGCAGGGTTCCAAAGCTTTGGGCCGTCCTCGACTGCTTTCCCGGGCCACAGGCAGGGAGCTGGAAGGGAAGCAGAGCTGCCGGGATTAGAACCGGCGCCCATATGGATCCCGGGTGTGCAAGGCAAGGACCTTAACCACTTGCGCCACCGCGCTGGGCCCCCATAAATAAATTCTTTAAAAAGAAAAGAAAAAGGTGATATGAACAGAATGAAAACTAGTGACAAGCAAGGTCTGGTCCTCTCCCCACATGCTGAGTATGCTGGCTCCAGCACTCAGCCAGGCGCCTGCGCAGCAGGGTGCTCTGCAGTGTGGGGAGGGACTGAACCCCAGCGCTAGGCACGCACAACATTTTCAACTAACTAGTAACTTTCCCAGGACCTGGTGGAACGCCACCTGTAGCATCAGTCTTCCCAGTTGCTAAGTTTGGGAAGGCAGGGACCTGCCTGGGATCTCCAAGACAATGAGGGGGCCAGGTGAGGATTCTGGGCCAGCCTTCCCTGCAGAAGCCCGCTGCGATCTCCCAGATGCAAAGCACAGGCTCCAGTGGGCAGCGGGAGGAAGTGGCCAAGGTCAGAGCCCGGCTCTAATCACTCAGAATCAGTTTGTTCCCTTCCTTCCTTCCTTTTTTTTTTTTTTTTTTTCAGGGACGGCAGTCTTTACTGATTACTGCATGGAACACATGAGCTGCAGGCAGTTCCTGGCCCTGGGGAAACGTCTGTCCTCCCTCCTTAGTTTCTTGTTTATTAATGTTTGACAGGCAGATTTGCAAAGGAGAGAGACAGAGCTCTCCCACCTGCTGGTTCACTCCTCACATGGCTGCAACAGCCAGAGCTGGGCCAGGTGGTAGTCAGGAGCCAGGAACTCCATCTGGGTCTCTCCTAGAGGCAGGGGCCCAAGTCCTTGGTCCATCTCTGCTGCTTTCCCACGTGCACTAGCAGGGAGCTGGATGGGAAATGGAGCGGCCAGGACTGGAACCGGCGCTGACGCAGGATGCTCGGTCCTTGCCTGGCATGTGCTGGGATCTCATACGGGTGCCAGTTCGTGTTCTGGTTGTCCCTCTTCTCTTCCAGCTCCCTGCTTGTGGCCTGGGAAAGCAGCAGAGGATGCTCAAAGCCTTGGGACCCTGCATTCACATGGGAGACCGGAGGAAGCTCCTTGCTCCTGGCTTCGGATCGGCTCAGCTTTAGCCGTTGCAGTCACTTGGGGAGTGAATCAGCTAACGAAAGATCTTTCTCTCTGTATATCTGTATTTCCAATAAATAAATGTTAGGGAAAAAAAAGCAGCTTAACAATGCTGCAGCAACGCACTGGCTCCGTGCTTCCCGACCCCACAGCGTTGGAAGCCCAAGGCCAGCTGTGCACATTGAGGGGTGCGAAGAGCCAGCTGCTGGGATGCGGCAAGAAGCACACGCACAGCTCTACACGTTTGCTTTATTTTAAGAGGGAATAATTTAAGTCTTGTGACTGACAGTCTCATTGTAGTATCTGCCCTTACTGTACACACACACACACACACACACACACACACACACGCGCGCTCTCTGCAGCCAGGTGCTGTTCAGCTGGGGGAACCACCAGCACAGGAAGCTGTTGTAACTCTCGCCTGTGAGCTCCAAGGCAAGAAAACCACGGATCAAGACCTCAGCTCACCACTTCTCCGACCCTCTGGGTCACTATTCTGGCCTCGGTTCCCTCGTGTGTAAGATGGAAAGAAAGTTTAACAGCCATTACCCCTGGGGGCCAGCTGTAGGCTCACGCCGAACTGGGTGCCTAGTACCCAGTAAACACTCCAGAAACGAGAGCTGTAATGGCTGTTTACCCCTCCTGGCCCGCGGGGAAACAGGTGCACAGAGTTGAAATAATGAGGTAATAATATGAGTAATCAATGACAGAAGCTGGGGGCCAGCACCTGCCTGCAGCCACAGCGGCGCCTTGGAGACTCCGAGCCGCCCTCCTAGGAGCTGTGTCCGTCCCCCGCTACGAGTTCCCGAGAGATGAGGGGAGTCTCACCCGTCACACACCCTGCTCCTGACCTGGGTCCCCAGACCAAGGGCTGTGGGCTCGCTGTCGCCCAGCAGCCTCGGCGTCGGCCGCCAGCAGCGGGACAGCTGCGCCCTCCAGTGGCAGAAGTAACCCACTGCTGGGAGACTTGGCTCAGGAGGGTGAGGATACTGGGAACCAGTGGCAGCCAGGCCCCTCGACCTTCACAGTGTGACCCTCCCAGTCCCTACTCGCACATTCTCTTTCCAAAATTCTCTTCCAGCTCGCTCCCGGTTGTGGGCACGGCTCCGAGACTGTGTGCTGGGCCCTGCAGGTTCAGCCAGGAGTCCCCTGACTTGCCCACTACAAGCCAGCGCCCTCAACACCCTCCAGATGTTCCCAAACCTACCCACATTCTTGGACTCAAAGAGAATCTCCGGAAGAGGCGTCGGATCTCCGGCCTGAGCTTTCCTGCCGAAGTCAAACTTCTCCCTCATCTTTCTGGGTCGCTCAGTCCCCTTCCCTCCCTCTCTATCCCTCTCCCCCAGCCCTCATCACCCAGCATCCCCAAGAAAAGCCCGGTCCCTCAATCCCCCAGAACTCCCAGGACCCCGGGGCTTCATCTGCTGCCTGACAAGCTCAAGAGCGCTGGGTTGGGGTACTCGGGGTTCTCGATGACGCCAGGGCCGAACTTGAGCTCCAGGAAGCGCCGGTAGTTGTTGGGCGCCTGCGCCATGAAGCCCGCGAAAGCCAAGGGCACCAGAGGCTGCAGGAAGTGTTCCGGGAACTCCACGTCCTGCCGGTGGTCCAGCCACGTGTCCTTGGTCATGACCCCGTTGCGGGGGTAGAATGGCCACAGGTCCACGTGCAGATGGTTGCTCTCACTGTACTGCACGCGGAAGAAATCGCCCTCCACGGCCTTCTCCCACACGAAGCCGCGCTCGTCCACCACTGAGCCAGCCTCGGCCCCCCGCAGCTGTTCGCAGTTGCCCACATCCTCCAGATAGATGCCTAGGTCCACGTCGTAGTCCCACGGGATGATGTCCCCGTGACGCGCGGCCCCCAGCAGCGAGCCACCCTCCAGCCAGTAGCGCACGCCGGCCGCCTCCAGCACGCCCACCACGTAGCGGGCTGTCTCCCGCAGCGCGCGCAGGCAGCACGGGGGTGTCCAGCGCCCCTCGTACAGGTAGGATGGTGTGTCGCCTACCACTGTGCCAAAGCAGCGCGCCGTCTCCTTGCCGCAGCCGAACCACTCCAGTCGCCCGCCTTCCCAGCTCACCAGGCGGATGCCCAGTGCGCGTAGCAGCGCCGCTCGCCGTGCTCGCCCTTCGCGCTCCGCCTTCCAGCGGGCGTGCGCTGTGCCCAGTGGGGGCTGGCGTGCGGCGGCGAAGGGCCAGTCCAGCAGGTGCACGGCCCAGCCACGCAGGGCAGTCTGCAGGAAGAGGCTGGTGCCCAGCGGCCGGGCCAGGGGTACAGAGAGATTGAAGAGGTCGCGGGCACGAAGGAGCACCACAGCATCCCCGTCCAGGGCATCGCAGCGGGGTGCGGAGGGTGCAGCGGCGTAGCTCGCGGTCCACTCCCGCAGGCTCACGTTCAAGGCCAGGCACCGGGCAGGGTTGGCCGTGGCCACTGGGGCGGCCACCAGGCGTGCGCTTCCCTGCCGGAGCGCCTCCACCATGCGCTCCAGCTGGCCCGGGGTCTCAGCCCGCGTGCCGTCTGGCACCAGGGCCACGAATTCGGTGTTCACATAGGTCTGTGGGCGCGAGGCCGCAGCCGGCCTGTCCAAGGCGGGCTGTAACAGGGCCAGGCGAACATTGGGGATGCGAGGCAAGGCCAGGGGCGGATAGGGCAGCGAGTCTGCCACCACCACCACAGGCTGCGCTGGGTCCTGCTGCAGCAGGGAGTCCACCAGCTCGGGCACGGCGTTGTCAAAGGTCTCGAACTCCCGTACCAGCACGGTGACACGGGGGCCGGAGGCGGAGGAGGTACGCCGGGAGCCCCGGCCACGGGAGTGCCTGGGCTGGTGCTGCAGCCAGGAGACATAGATGAACACCAGCAGGTTGAGGGTGATGGCGGCTGCCAGCGCAGCCTGGCAACGGGTGAGCCGCATGGGGCCCAAGTCAGGCCCTAGCTGGGCCTCGGTGACATCCTGGGGGGGAGAGACAAGGGAGGGGGTTGAGGCTGGCAGGCAGGGGCTGCACTGTCCTGGCCTACGGCCGGGCTGCAGCTGCTCCTGTTTCCTATTTGCTTCAGCTCCGAGTGTCCTTCCTCCAGGAAACCCTCCCTGACTGCCCAGGCTGGGCCAGGCACACCTTTGGGGTGTCTTCAGGACCCTCGGGGTTCCCCCATCCCAGTCTCCGAACCATCACTGCATGGAGAAGTATCTGCACCCCTCCTTCCCCCCGCCTGCGGACTGGTGAGCCTGGCCCGAGCCTCCAGCACTGCCCACGATGGCGCTGTTTTGCATGTTCAACCTCATCCTCCTGCTCTCTGTGGTCACTCACTTAGCCTAGTCGGTCCCTCCCTCAGTCTCATACACTTCCTCCAGGAAGCCTCCTCTGATTTCTCCCTCCACAGGGCTGGCCCCAGAACTCTGACTTCTCCAGGTGTTTAAAAAATTTTTTTTTATTGGCAAGGCTGATTTTACAGAGAGAAGAAGCAGAGATCTTTCCATCTGCTGGCTCACTCTCCAGATGACCGGCTGCAGGGGCCCAAAGAGGTGAGCCGTCCTCTGCTACTTTCCCAGGGAAGCGGAGCAGCTGGGACATGAAGCAGCACCTAGCACCCACAGGGACGCTGGTACTGCAAACAGAGGAATACCTTGCTATGCCACAGAACTAGCCCCGGCTGGCTCGACTTTTCATTTTCGCTTCTTGCTAAGGTGCACCCTCGGGGGAAGCAGGTGGTAGCTCCAGTCGCTAGGTGCCTGGCCTCACGCGTCCCCCATCCTTGCCTACTCCATGTGGGGATGGGTCTGCCAGCTCCCTAGACTGTGAGTCCTGCAAGGGCATAGCCAGAGCTATTTTGTGTGTCCATGGCCCAGGGCCCCGTCCTGACAATGGACTTGATGGGGGGAAAAAAAAAAAAAAAGGATGGTTGGATGTTAGTGTTGTGGCACAGTGGCTAAAGCCGCTGTCTGCAACGCCCCCAGTATCCCTGTATGGGTTCCAGTTCGAGTCCTGGCTGATGCACTTCCTATCCAGCTCCCTGCTTATGTGCCTGGGAACAGCAGTGGAAGATGGCCCAAAGACTCAGGAGAAAAGCTCTTGGCCACTGGGGCCATGTGGGGAAGTGAGTCAGTAGATGGAGGCCTCTCGGTCACTCCCTGTCTGTCACTCTGTCAGATAGATAAGAAAACCTTTTCTTGAGTGGGGAAAAAAAAAAAAGTAAAAATAAAAAATAATGGCAAGGCTGGAGTTTCTGTGCATCAGTGAAGTCTGGTCAGCTCAGTGCTAAACTGCATCGATGGACAAGTCCGCATCCGCAGGCCTGCCTGGCCTGCCTGCTCCCCGTCTCTCGCCAAGGCACCTCGCAGCTCCTTTACCACCCCAGTCCCCTTCTTTCAGGCCGACTCAGACGGTCCCTAAGGCCCCAAGCTGCAGGATGGGTGACGCATCCCAGGATGAACCCGCCCACTGGGGGCGCCTGTGTCCTGTACTGCAGGGCCTGGGTTCGAGACCCTGCTGGGGTTGGTTTAGTTTTTTACTCATGCACACTCTCCAAAGAGATTCACTGTATTTATTTGAAAGGAAGAGTTAGAGAGAGGGAGATGGGAGGAATGGAGGTCTCCTGCCTGCTGGTTCATGCCATGGTTGGGATGTTGTGTGGCAGGTGGTGGTTTAACCCGTTACGCTCCACGGCCGCTCTATGAACGTTCTCAGAGCTGGCAGGTGTTGGCTCAGTACATGGGTCCATGACACATGCACGACCAGAGTTCAGGGCAAGTGGCTTTGGCCTAACCCAGCGCCAGCTGCTGCAGCTGTTTTGGGAAATGAACCAACAGGTGCAACATCGGTCTTTCAAATTTTTTTTTTTCCTTAAGATTAACAGTCTGGGCCCGGCAGTGTGGCCTAGTGGCTAAAGTCCTCGCCTTGAACGTGCCGGGATCCCACATGGGTGCCCTCGTACAGGTAGGTTCTAATTCCAGCAGCTCCACTTCCCATCCAGCTCCCTGCTTGTGGCCTGGGAAAGCAGTCGAGGATGGCCCAAAGCCTTGGGACCCTGCACCCGTGTGGGAGGCCCAGAAAAAACTCCTGGCTCCTGGCTTCAGATTGCCCCAGCTCTGGCTTTTGTGGTTATCTGGGGATGAACCAGCGGATAGAGGATTTTTCTATCTTTGCTTTCTGTAAATCTACCTTTCAATAAAAATAAGTATTTAAAAAAACAAAAACCAACAGCAACCTACAGATGCATCAGGCAACCAGCAGGAGGCGCGCGAGAGCTCACTTCACACCAGGTGGGCTGGGAAGGGGTGGACAGCACGCTGACAAGGTGGGCCCCGCTTTTCCTCATTCCCGAGTTCTCTGGGCCTGAGCTCTCTGCTCCTACAGCTGCAGAAGGCAGAGGGCGTGCACAAAACGAGAGCAGCAAGCAAGCAAGCCTAGTCCGTGGAAAAGAACAGTTTCCACCTGCGTGCTTGGTGACCCCAAAGGATTTTCTTACCTCCTAGGCTGCAGGCTGGGGCGGCTCCGGGAGGGCGGCTCGAGTCCAGCTCAGTGGCATCGCTGCGGGAAGAAGAGAAACCCCGAGTCAGCCAGTGGCACACAGGACAGCAAGGTGGCATCAGGGAGTCCTTCCTGACCTGCCATCAGCCAGGGCACCACCTGGGGCATCTCAGGCGTCAGCTACCATGACAACCTTGAGCTGCTTCTCTCTGGAGAACAGGGCTCACAAATGGTAACCATGTTACCCCCTCCCCAAACATACTCCACCCCTAAGAGACAATCCCGTGGTCCCTGCTTTGGCAGGCCTGGTGCCTAGGGTCCCTGGAAGGAAAGGGGGGTGGGCTATCATGTTACCATAGTAACCAGGGCTTGGCCTTGTCTGTTTCCCACTTCCCTGGGGGCTGGTCCAGGTCCTGAAACCATAGCAACTGGCCCCAGCAGACTCTTTCCTCTAAATAAAAACACCTGGTTGGTTTGGTCCAGGGGCCCTCCCACGGATGGAAGGGGGGCGATGGTTACCATGGTAACACCAGCTGGGTAGCTACCGGGGGAGGGGGTTGGGAAGAGATGCTTTTCTTAGCGATTAGTGTCTTTGGGGCTGTGGGCTCTTTCACCGGGGTGCAAGGTGAGAGAGGGATGCCATAGTGACAAGGCTGGTAGTGGACAGGATCAGCAGGGACGTAGATTAGCTTAGAAATCTCCTCCTGGTTCTGGGTTTGGGGCTCCTTAACCACAAAGGTGGAAGGAACGAGGGAGGGAGGAGGACGGTGCTCCAGGCTTCCAAAGGGTTACCATGACAACTGGCTCAGCCAGGCACCAGAAAGGATGCCCGTGTTCCCCGTCCCCCCCCCCCCCCCCGCTAATTCCACCCCTAGTGGTCACCCCTGACAATGACTGTCCAGGACAAGGGTATGTGGATTTGGAAAAAGAGTCAGACACGACCCCTATCTTCATCTTCATTCCTGCCAGAAGCGCCCAGGCCGGCGCGCGCGCAGGGTGCCATCCTGGGCTCGCGCGCCCCCGGCCCTCCCCTCCCCACGTCGCCCGTGCCAAGCGCGCGCGCGCGTCCCGGGGCCGACCAGGGTGGGCGAGGCGCGCGCCCGGCCTCCCGCTCGCCCCCGTCTCCCCGTTCCCCGCCTCGCGCGCGCGCTGCGGGGTGAAGGGGGTGGAGGCGGTGGGGGTGCAGGCGCGGCCGCGCAGGCGCGCGAGGCGGAGCGGGCGCGCGGGCCGGCCCCGGCGCCTCCATGATGGAGGAGCGAGCGGCCGCCGCGGTCGCCGCCGCCGCCTCCTCCTGCCGCCCGCTCGGCTCCGGCGGGGGCCCCGGCCCGGCTGGAGCGACCCCAGCTGCCACCCCTGTGCCCGGGCCTGGCCCGGCCGGGAAGGGAGGCGGCGGCGGAGGCAGCCCCGGCCCCACGGCGGGCCCGGAGCCCCTGAGCCTACCGGGAATCCTGCACTTTATTCAACACGAGTGGGCGCGCTTCGAGGCCGAGAAGGCGCGCTGGGAGGCCGAGCGCGCCGAGTTGCAGGTGAGCACCGACCCCGGGGACCCCGGCCCCCCACCCCGGCCCGGCCCGGCCCGGCCTCACCCGCCGCCGCCGCTGCCGCCATCTTGAAGCAATGGCCGCCGGGACGGCCGGGAGGGGGGCGGGCGGGGACGCGACGGTCCCCGAGAGCGGGTGGGGGGCCGGGAGGGGGCCGGGGTGCGGTGTCCTGAGAGGACCGGGACGGCTGGAGGTGGGAGTGGAGCAGGGTCCGGGGTGCTGCGGAGAAAGGAGGTGGGCCGGCGGCGGCAAGAAAAGGGGGCGGAGGAGTCAGTCGGACTCAAGTGGGAGGGCGCGCAGGGCAGTTGGAGAGAGGAAGACCCGCGGGGGTCTCAGCTAGGAGGCTGCAAAAACTCGCAGGTGCCTAGGGACTCCCACCCCTTTACTCCCTTCCTTTCCGTGTCCCTGGCCAGTGCGGGGTTGAGAATGGAGCCGAGTGTCAGGGCTGCGGGCTGGGGGATAGACCGGGCTCCGGGGGTGGGTGAGTGGGTGCGACTTGGGACTTACTGCCAGCCAAGAGCCGGGAGGCGCAGGGAGAGGAAGTCCGGATGGGGTGTGTTTCTGGATGTTTGGGCGATGGGCTGACTCGTGACTGTGGGGGCGGGAGAGGGTTTGGAGGCGTCCCAGGAGGAAGAGGGTGCCCTGGGAGGAATCCGGTGAACCCCGACTTGTGGCTGCAGAGTGCAATTCAGAAAGAGTCCTGGGGTGGAACTGGGGACAAGGCAGAGGGGGCTGTCCCGCCCGTTGGGACACGGGGCCAGAGAGCCTCAGTTTAGGGGTGTGGAGAGCTGTGGTGACCAGGAGAGGAGAATGTCGGATGTCAGATAGGGGACCCTGAGCTGGGATATGGGGTTCTGTGTGTGGCCAATGTGGAGATGAGGGCGGCCTGGACAGGCACACGGAAGGGGGACCTGGGTACGCTTGAGGGATGCGTTCTAGGGTTAGGAAGGCCATAGGGGATGCCTGTGGTTGATCCTGGGGAAAGCCGGGGTGATGTGGAGAGTAGCTTGGGAGAGATGGGTGCCCCAGAGTGAGGGCGGCCAGGTCTCACACATCCGGTGACACGGTTCGTGACCTTGAGGAGTGTCAGGTGTGAGGGGCCTGAGGACCTCCATGGGGCATGGGGCTGGGATGTTCTCAATGGAAATTGCCAGCATTTGCTTCTGGCAGCCTGGCTCCCCACCCCTCCCCCACACACACCCCAGGATTGTCTGGTGGGAGTCCTGTCTGGGGAGCAAGCAAACATTTGGCCATTGTCCCCGAGGGTCCCATTCAGGTGGTGCTGATGCTGGATCCTCCTACCTGCCCATAGGAGTGCAGTCTTTACGTAAGGGCTGTGGGCTTGGGTCCTGTTCTCTCCTCTCAAAACTGTTTCCCAGCATCCATCTTGCTGGGCTTCCTCAGTACCCCGTGACGGAGGCAGGGCCAGTGCCATTACCTCACTCAGCAGCCAGGGTCACAGCCACTGTGTGCTGGGGGGAAGGTGCAGTGTGTGCCAGGCTCGGTGTGAGGCATGGCAGGTGCATGCCATGGTTGAATCCCAGCAGCATCCTGGGCAGGGAGGACTGAGGCCGTCCCGGGGTGGGTGACTTGCCCAGGGGCAGAGCTGGACTGTGCTGGCCACCTCTCTACCACCCGGGCCGGGACCCCAGGATGCTCGGGACCTCCTCATGTCACCCCGAATCTCAGGTAGTTAGTTTGCACCTGCTGTCTTAGAGGCAGCTCACCGTATGGGTCCCGTTGCCAATGACTGCCCCTCTGGCATGGACCCCCACCCCAGGACCTCAGCCTGGTGGCAGCCTCAGCTCTCACGTGTTGTATGTGAGAGATCAAGCCTCTGTGTGTGAGAGAGAGACCCTTGATGACCTCTCTGCATGCAGTCCCTGCTTCCGTGCTCCTTGCATGCCAGCAGGGAGAGCTGGTTCATCTCCATGGCCACTGTGGCCCTGGTGGCTGCATGTGAGACACAGTCTGGCTCTTCTGCCTACAGAACTGGCCACAGTGAGTGGCCTTCCAGCCCTGGCGTGTGCATGAGGCATAGGAGGCGGGCAGAGTAGGCTCTGCCAGGCCCCTTCTGGGTGTCCACGCCCGAAAGTAGCACCTCTTACACGCCTTGCCAGGAGCCACTTCCCACCAACAGGTGTCAGAGCGGGACCTGCTGCTCCTAGCGCCAGGTGGCCTGTGTGCGTCTCATGCCCACGGCCTGTGTCTGATCACAGTGGGGGAGGTGAGGAAGGCATGAGGTGTCCGTCCTGGGTTGGTCTGCGTGTTCACGCATCTCTGAGATGGAGCTCTTTGGGGAGGGAGCCGAAGCAGAAGTTGCCTGGGGCAGGGGGAGGGGGAAGAGGCGCCATGGCGGGTGGGAGGTATGGGCCGGACCCCTCCCTGGACTGGGCCAGACCTGGGTATGGAGAGAGGAAGCATGGGCCCCTGGGGAACCCCAGTACTGACCCTTGAGGAAGCTTTTTAGGTGTCTTTGCTGGAGAGGGAACAGCGGGAGAGGGGGCGGCTTGTCTCAGAAGGGCTGTTTCTGGAAGAACATGGGATTCAGGAGTAGGTGTGGTGAGCAGTGCGCACGGCAGCTCCCAGCCCCGCCAACTGCCACCCGCCACCCGCTGAGGCCAGATGGCTGTGGGAGCTGGCTGCGACCCTTCCCTGGGGGTGGGAGTGGGGCGTCCCACTGCCACCAACCCGGAATGCAGTGCCAGCTACATCTTCCAGTGCCACATGGGCCGGGGAGGACAGCAGAACAGATGGGAACTGGTGTTGTCGCTAGGAGAAGACCAGGGCTTGAGGAGGCGGCAGAAGGAAGGAGGAGACCTGAGTGAGCTGGGCAGGTGCTGTGCCTGCTGCCTTCCCCATCCAGGCCGTTTCCGCCTGGAGTTTCAGTGCTTGGCCCGTTGTAACCCCTACCCCACTCGGGTCCCCCTGTGGCTGGAGTCCCCTTTGCGACCCTCGCACACTGTCATCCCTATATGATCTCCACCTTTGCTGGCCTTGCTTCTCCAGTCTTCGCCGCTGCTCCTTTGATACAACCTGGTCAGGAGTCCCTCGGGCCGCTTGCTGCTCTTGTCCCCGTCCTCTGTTAGTCACCTCAGGTCCTCATCCCTTCGTCCCCTCCCTAGGGACCTAGTCATAGTGCCTGGAAGTTGTCCCTGCTCAGCACCTGCCTGCTCCTTGCACAGTGCCTGCTGCCCAGGGGGTGGATGCCCCATGGGATGGCACTGTCGAGGCTCTCACCGGGCCAGGCTGGGCCAGGAGGGAGCAGGTGCGTGGGGAATGCCGTGGGGTTGGGAATAGCGGGAAAGAGTATGGGGCTGGTGTTTGGTGCCTCCCCTCAAAAAACTGATCCAGGACCCCATTGGAGTCAGTCTGACCTTCCGTGTAGAACATGTGAAGGCTTCTCCCTGGCACCCCGGTGGTGGCATTTCCTTGTCCTTGTTGCTGACTCTGCCCTCTTCCTGCTGGAGCATCACGTCCAGGGCCAGGGCTGGGTCAGTGTGGGTGGAGTGGACAGAAGAAGGGCCGCGCGGTTGGACAGTGATGCACGCGCGTCCCTTTGTGTTGATTCAGAAGGCAGCCTGCCACCACACGGGTTGTTAGCAGGACAGAGACGTGGAGGTGGGTCCGCTGGGGCTTGGAGAGGCCAACACGGGTGGACAGAGTGCTCCCTGACACAGGCTTGCTTCCCAAGTTCCTGCCGGGGCTGGGCTCAGGTCCCACCAGAGCCAGGAGCCAGAAAATCCAGGTCTCCCGAGGGGTTGGCCAGAGCTGTTAGTGGATCACTCACCATTCCTTGCTTGAGTCCGTGTTGGAAGGAACCTGGCCTTGGGGCGGCAGCCAGATGTGCAGGCTGAGCACAGCTGTTCGGGCTGCACTGGCTGGCCCACCATCGTTTTTGTGGTTACTGCCCTCAAGTAGGGTGGGCTAGTTAATGGCACGAATGGGCCCGGTGTCCCATCCAGCGCCAGGTGTCACGTGACAGTTGCCCAGCTCTGCGGCCCTGCAGGTAAGAGCAGGGCTGCACCCTGCTCCAAGCACATGGATATTGTGGTCCCTTGGAAAGCCTCAGGGGAGGATGAGTGGCATAGGGCACCAGGGGCTCCAGGACCAGGTGCACAGGGGGCCGGGTAAAGCTTTGACGGGGGTGCAGCTGGGGGCGCTGCCGTGGAAGCTCCCTGGCAGGCACGTGGTGCACAGGGAAGCTCTGGCTGTCTGAGAGGGCAGAGGCTGGTAACCCCTGGAGCGGGTGCATCTCAGCGAGGCAGGGGAGTGTGATGAGGTCTGCTGAGTTGTCTATTCTTGGCTGGGCCCTGGGCTGCAAGGCTAGCACCTGAATATTAGGCGTCCTGGGGTGGGGGATCCTCGGAGAAGGGAAGATATCTTAGTGAACTCACACGGCCACATGGCCTGGCAGGCAAGCCCTGGGCGGGGTGGGCAGGGGTGACAGTGGGACATCAGGAATGGGCACCTGTACCCAGGGCTTCTGGAACTCGGTCAAGGCCATGGACTGCCACAGCCTGGGCCGCCCAGACCAGCAGACAACAGGAAGTGCCCAGCCATCCCCACCCCAGACAGATGTCCAGTAGGAGGCCCCTTGAGGTTACTTGTGCTGGAGTGGGGGGTGCAGGTTCAACTCAGCCACCCCCTCTGGTCCTCAAGCTCCAGAAATGTCCTCCGGCACCTGCCAGCGACAGATGCTGTGGTAGGAAGTGGGGAAGAGGGAGGGAGGGCGCCTCCTCCAGCAGCGCGCTCCTGACGGTTCCTAGCTGGGGATGCCTGGCTGCCCCCATCAATTACCTGCCCTGGTCTCTCTCGAGAAGGGCAAATGCCAAGTTTAGCCCAAGTTGGCTCAGTTAATTTCAGGGGTTAAGGACTCCAGCTTTTTCATCGTGGGTGACCCACACACCCAGAATCTCCCGAGGCTCCCCAGCACCCTGGATCAGGGTTGCAGCACCTACGGCAGTGGCTTCAGGGCACCCCGTGGGTTGGGGCTGGAGCTGTGCCTGTGGGGGCGGTGGGCTGCAGCACCCAGCCCTGAGCCCGCCGCTCCCATTCCCCAGGCCCAGGTGGCCTTTCTCCAAGGAGAAAGGAAAGGGCAGGAGAACCTGAAGACAGACCTGGTGCGGCGGATCAAGATGCTGGAGTACGCACTGAAGCAGGAGAGGTGAGCTGGCCGCCTCTTCCCCCAGCCGGGTGCTAGGAGCCGAGGCGGGCAGGTCCAGCTGGGGGTGAGGCCTCGTGGTGACCGCTGCTGGCCTCTCCCCTCCCCATGTGTCTGTCCGCTCACTGTTTGTCTCTTAGGGCCAAATACCATAAACTGAAGTTTGGAACAGACTTGAACCAGGGCGAAAAGAAGCCGGATCTGTCAGAACAAGGTACCCGGCCCCCTGTGCACCTGGTCCACCCCATGTGCCTGCACCTCTGTGATGGGGAATGGCGGTGCCCCTTTGTGACTTGGCTGCACAGAGCAGAGGTGGCCCTGGGGCAGGAATCACAGCGCCCACCCTGGTGGGCTGCTCTGTGCCGGGGCCTGCCGTCCCTCTGTGGCGCTGAGACACACACAGGCAGCTCCCTGCGTCCCTCCTGAGACATGGGGGCTGGGGCTGTTTATGGGGTTCCATGGACACTGTGGGAGTCATCACCTCGTTCTCCCCCTAAGTGCATTGTTTGTGGAGTGTGGTCGTGTCGCCTGCAGGGCACAGCAGAGAGCAGAGGTGATGTGCTCAGCGCCCTTGAGCCCCTCCAAATCCAAACTCCCAGAAAGCAGACCCAGCCCCTCTGCAGGGGTGGGGGCGCGGGGTGAATGTGGTATGATGGAGCAGTAACAGTGTGGGCAGCAGCCTGGTGGCAGCATGCCCTGGGGACAGGGGACGTCTGGCTTGTCCCCGAGTTTCCTTTGACATGCTGAAGTGTCTTGGCTGCCTCCCTCTGGTCCTCACTGCCTTTGGCAGAGACTGAAGGATTGAGTTGTGAGGTGCAGGTGTGGTGGCTAATAGTGGCTGCCACGTCCTCAGGTGTCAGGAACCCTGTGGAGGCTGTACCCACTGGCCTTTTAGTGACTGTCACCCACTGCTGGCCAGAGGGCAGTACCCATCCTGGTTAAGGCTCCTTGTGTAGTCCAGGCCTGATACAAACATGATGGATGAAACACATTAGTGCACGGATGGGTCACCTCACCTGTCCAAGGTTGCCTGGAAAGGGGGGGAGTTGGACTTGAACCCAGTCTGCCCAGTCAATCCCTGAGGCCCAGGTCAGCCCTGTGTGGGGAGGTAACGGCCCCAGGTCCTCTCTGGGGGGTGACTGGTGCGCAGCAGCTGGCGTCACAGCACCCAGCCCAGTGCCTGACTGGGTTTGTGGGGTGAGGAAAACAGAGTGACAGGCCAAGTGAGACATCCCCACCCCTTCTCTCCATCGCTACTTCCCCAGTACCCAACGGCCCCGTGGAGTCGGTCACCCTGGAGAACAGCTCGCTTGTGTGGAAGGAGGGGCGACAGCTTCTCCGACAGTGAGTATGGGGACGTGGGGGTAGGGTTCCTGGGGACAAGGGGCACATTCAGACTGGGAGATGCAAGGAGCTTCCACAGTCTTTCATGCCCCCAATAGGGACACGGGACCCTCAGGATCTCAGACAGCTGGGAAGGCTGGTACCAAGGACTTCCCGGAGGAGGTGGCGTGGGGTCTCCTGTTCCTGAAACATGAACCTAGTGCCCTGAAGCACTGTCCTTAAAGGGTGAATTTAAGTTCTTGGTTAGAAGTGTTATTTAAAAGCAGAGATTTCCCACAGATTCTCACAAGGGCCAGAGCTGAGCCAGATCAAAGGGAAAACCAGCTGGTGTTCCCACTGGGGTGCCAGGGGCTCAGGTATTTGAGCCACCACCTATTGTCCCTAAGGGGCATCAACAGGAAGCTGGAGTGAAATGGAGTAGCCAGGACTAGGAGCAAGCACTTGGAAGTGGGATACAGGCATGCAACAGCCAGCAGCCTGGAATTCCATCCAGATCTTCCACACAGGGGCAAGGCCCAAACACTTGGGGCATCTTCTGCTGCCTGACCAGGCCACCAGCAGGAGCTGGATGGGAAGTGGAGCAGCTGGGACATGAACTGGAGCCCGGAGCCCGTATGGGATTCTGGCACCATGGGCAGAGGATTAGCCCTCCTCCCCTGCGTTTTTAAGGCTTTACGCCTTTACGCCAGCTGGCTTCACAGTGTTGATTTGTAGGAAGGAGTACAGTCAATTGCCCAGGTTCCTCTTACCTCCTTACCTCCCAGCAAAGTTTCTTATGACGTTCCCTTGGCCTTGAGAGCACAGGGTGTGGTGTCACCTTCCACATACAGGGATGTTTTAAAACAGATGGGCCTGAGCAGGGGCACACAGCTTCAGTTCTGTCATGTGCCTTAGCATGGCTGTCCTTGATTGGCGCTGTGCCCCACGGGTTTCCTGCCTGGATACCCTAAGTATCGTATCGTCATGGGAACAAAGGCTTCAGTGGAAATTATCTCAAAAGCGAAGCTGTGGTGTTGGCGGCAGTGTACCTGCCGGGGCCGGGGTCCACTCTGGAGAGGCCCCCTGTGTGAGGGGCCTGGTGGCCACCTGACCTGCCCTGCCTCTGCCCCCCTCAGGTACCTGGAAGAGGTGGGCTACACAGACACCATCCTGGACATGCGCTCCAAACGTGTGCGTTCCCTGCTGGGCCGCTCATTGGAGCTCAACGGGGCGGTGGAGCCCAGTGAGGGGGCTCCCAGGGCCACGCCGGGCCCCGGGGTGCTCAGCAGCGGCGGCGGGGGTGGCGGCGAGTCACTGCTGGTGAAACAGATCGAGGAGCAAATCAAGAGGTGAGCCCTTGGCCTCTGCCAGCCCCTCGGAGGTGCCTGCGGGCTTGTTGCTTCCGGAATGCTCGGGTTTGGTTCAGGGTTTTCTGCCACAGGCTCCCTGTGGCCTCCTTGACCAAGGCGCCAGGGCAGCATCGAGCTGGCACCTGCTGGAGGCCAGCGCTGCTCTCGGCACACACCGATTAGTTCGTGTCTCCTCGGTGTTTGTCCTGTCAGGTGGTGCTGAGAGCTCTGGATAGCACAGGGGGAGAGGCGAGAGTGACAGGGCGACAGGCTCGCTGCTCTGGACTGGCAGCCAGGGAGGGCCTCTCGGTGGAGGTGATGTCGGGTGGAGAGCGAGACAGGAGAAGCCACCTGCAGAGCTGAGGGAGTGTTGTGGGCACAGTCACCATCTGTGCCCCAGGTTCTGAAGCGGAAAGGACTCGGCCTGCAGGGGGCAGCCTGAGGTTAGTGTTGCCAGCTAGGGAGGCAGAGCGCTGGGCAGGGGCGGGCCGTTCACCTCCAGGCAGCCTGGAGGTGAGGCTGTGGGCAGGCCTGGCCGTGCAGAGAGGACAACAGGGATGACTCCTGTGGGATGAACCGCGGCGGGGAGGGGGCCGTGGTCCCGAGGGTGGGCTGGCTCCTTGGGGTGGTTCATCACCCCTCACAGAGGTGCTGCTCCACTGATCCAGGTGCTGGCATCTGAAGCTTAGCTGCAGTTCAGCACTGCAGGGCTGTGACCCCACAAGGGAGCGAGTAGAGGGAGGAGAGCTGAGCCTGGGCCTCCCACACACAGCGGGGAGGAGCAAGCGGGAGGTGGTGGCATGTAGGGGGAGGGCAGTGAACGGCAGGCTGGATTGTGGGAGGTGAGGGGGGATCAGGCAGGCGGCTATGGTCCTTTGGCCAAGGGAGGACCTTGTGCCTGGGTGGTTTGCAGGAACTTTCTAGAACATTAGCCTGATGGCTGGAAGGAAGCTGTTTGTGTTGATCCGGTCCACCTCAGAGTCATGTCTGGCACAGGTTGGAGGCCGGGAGGTAGGTGGAGGGGAGCGTAGGCTCCTGCGATCAGGGGTCCCCCAGCCCCTGCCCGGCCTCCTGCCCGAGCAGCCCCCCTGGACTGGCCAGGTGCTGTGCTGGGTGCTCAGTCACAGGTGCCTTGCAGCTTTCCTTCCCGCTCAGCATGCGTGGGCACACTGGCTCCGGCTGCCCCCGGAATGATGGTTGTAGCATCAGGCAGGGGTTGGATCCAGGCTTTGGCCACCAAGCCCGTGTGTCCTCTGTGGCACTAATATCCCCCGGGGCCCCATGTCGTGGGCAGGAATGCGGCAGGCAAGGACGGCAAAGAGCGCCTGGCCGGCTCGGTGCTGGAGCAGATCCCCTTCCTGCAGAACTGTGAGGACGAGGACAGCGACGAGGACGACGAGCTGGACAGCGTGCAGCACAAGAAGCAGCGCGTGAAGGTGGGCCCCATGGCCTGTCTGGGTGGCAGTCAGGGGCGCCCAGGGCCCTTCACCCCGGCAGCCTGCCACACCCCATGGCCAGCCCGGGCATCCTGGCGCGGTTGTTCTGCCTCCAGCAGAGGGCGCATGTTGTCGGAGCCCTACCGAGGCAGCTGGCAGGAGGCAGGAGCCCAGGCTGCTGTGTTGCCAAGACCCGAAGGCCTTGGGCTTTGGCCAAGAGACCTTCTGAGCTGTGTGGTCTTCACCTTGTCCCAGCTGCCGTCCAAGGCCCTGGTGCCCGAGATGGAGGAGGAGGACGAGGAGGATGACTCTGAAGACGCTATCAATGAGTTTGACTTCCTGGGCTCAGGAGAGGATGGGGAAGGTTCCCCAGACCCTCGGCGTTGTGCTGCGGACGGAAACCCCCACGAGCTGGGTGAGCGGGCAGTGCCCCGGCTGACCACCGCTGGCCTTGCATGCCTGTCCTTTTCCTCTGCACACAGCCACGTCCAGCTGCTTCCTGTCGGGGGGTCTCCACCGGACGGACACGCTTCCTCAGGGTGGAGGGTTGAGGAGCTCACAGGGCACAAGCCATGGGCAACAGGCTCCTGACCCATTCCAGGGAAAACCCCTGCGGGCTGCAGGCGGCTGTCCAACTCTGGCCCGGCTCAAGGAGGGAACAGGATGAGTGACTTGGGGGAAGGGCCGCGGCTTCCTCTATGTCCTGTGCTGCCTGGCCAGGGGGGCCCTTGGGTCACATGGGATGGGGGCTGGAGGGTCCCCACATGCCTCCGTTTCCTCTGCCCTTCCCCCGCCTGGGACCCAGAGCTCAGTGCCCCCCACAGTGGCTGGGAGGCTGTGGTGATCAGCAAGGCGACTGGGGCAGAGCCAGGGGAGATCACGGGCGCTTGCACCACCCTCCTCTCTCTGGTCCCCGCAGAGAGCCGGCGGGTCAAGCTCCAGGGAATCCTGGCTGACCTGCGCGATGTGGATGGGCTGCCTCCCAAAGTGACAGGTCCCCCTCCCGGCACGCCCCAGCCCCGGCCCCACGAAGGTAAGAGTGCCCATCCCAAGCCTTGCCCCCGACATCCCCTGGGGGCCATGGCAGAGGGAGGCTGTAGCGCCCAGCCCTCCTGGGGCCTCCGGGCCCTCAGGGCTGTGACCCAGCCTCCACTGCAGCCAGCCTCCCCGTCCCAAAGTTGGTCTGTCTGTCTGTCTTCCCTCTGTGTCTGCCCTGTCCCGGCTGCCCGTCTCTCTGTCTCCTCCAGCTGTGACTCTCCGCCTCGTGCTCTCGCTCGCTCTCTTCCCAGCACCTCATCTCCCTCTCTGCCTCTCTCTGTCTCTCTCTCCCTGGCCCTGCCCGCCCCTCCCCTCCCCCTAGCAGGTTCCTTTGGCTTCTCCTCAGACGTCTTCATCATGGACACCATCGGGGGCGGGGAAGTGAGCCTGGGGGACTTGGCGGATCTCACCGTCACCAATGACAACGAGCTCAGCTGTGATGTAAGTTCTTGGCTCTCTGTCAGAGGACGCCGTGAGGTCGCCTAGCAGTCGAGGGGAGCGGTGCCTAGGGGCTGAAGCCCACATCTTACTCACGGTGCCTCTCTCCCTCGGGGTGGGGGATGGAGGTCGATGCAGGGACCAGGCCAGTGTGGTGTGAGTGTGGCAGTGGGGCCAGGCTCGAGAGGCCCCTGGGAGCCAGCAGTCCTTGGCAGTCCCGGCTGGGTCTGGGGTGCGGGAGCTAGGCTGAACGGCTAGGCTGCACCTGTTCTGGAGAGTGGGCAAGCACCGGGGACCATGTGACAGTGGGTTCCGGCTTGGAAGGGGTCATGACTGCCAGCCCAGGAGGCCCGCCCACCAGTTTCCTCGGCTTGCCGCTTTAGAGCATGGGCACGCGTGCTGTCCCTGGCATTTTGCCCACGTAAGCCTGTTGATGGCTCTCAGATCTCCCCATGCCCAGGTCGGTGCCTGGTCTCCTGGCCTTTCCATCCTCTAAGACTTTGTAGCCTTCTAGCTGTTGTTTGGCAGTCGCCATTGTCCTGCCCCAGTGCGGGTTTCCCATGGGGTGGCCAGAGCAAACCGCATCACGCCCTTCTCCCAACTTACATGGCGACTGGTTTGACTTGGAGTGACATATAGGTGCCTGAGGGTGGCTCACCTGCCTTGCCCCTGCTCACCTCTCTGATCCTGCCTCTGGCCACCTGCGCCCTTGCCTTCTGCATGCCAGCCACCCCAACCTAGGGTGCTGCTCCTATCCTCAGAGGACTTCTGCATGCGCCACTGGCCCCTCTGTCTTGGGTCAAGATGTAGTTATCTGAAATGCAGTTACGGAGGTGGGCTGTGCCTGTCTGCAAGCAGGAGCCTGGAGCTCCATCCAGGTCCCCAGGTCTCCCCCATCAGTGGCAGCAGGTCAAGCGCTTGGGCCTTCCTCTACTGTTCTCCCAAGCGCATTAGCAGGGAGCTGGATCAGAAGAGGAACAGTGTGGACTTGAACTCTGCAGGGATGCAGGGTGTAACTGGCCACACCCTGACACTGCCTCCCTCCCCCTCTGATGAAACCCTGCTTGTTTGTTACTTCTCAGGAAGGCCTGGGGTGCCCCCTGAGGATGAAGGCTGCCAGCTTCTGTCCTCTTGGCCTGCTTGTACTGGGCAACCCCATGCACCTGTGGGTTACCCCTCAGTGAGGGGGGCAGCTCTGTATCCCCGGGAACCAGCCTGTCTCAGGGATTGTCAAAGGAGTGTGGGGGTGAGTGTCGGGGTGTTGTTGCTGAATGCCAGGTGAGACAACACTGAGGCCGCTCTGCCCCCGCAGCTCTCCGACAGCAAAGACGCCTTCAAGAAGACATGGAACCCCAAGTTCACCCTGCGTTCACATTACGATGGCATCCGCTCCCTGGCCTTCCACCACAGCCAGTCGGCGCTGCTCACCGCCTCCGAGGATGGCACGCTCAAGCTCTGGAACCTACAGAAGGCGGCCACGGCCAAGAAGTGAGGGCCGCAGTCTCCAGCACACGTGCGGGCAAGCAGGTGGGCGGGCAGGCCACTGTGCTGGGGACAGGTCATGGTGACACGCGGCCCCTCTGCTCTTCCTCGCAGGAACGCTGCCTTGGACGTGGAGCCCATCCATGCCTTCCGGGCCCACAGGTAGGGCCGAGTCACAGGAAACCCTGTCTTGAGGCCTTGGTCCCCACCTGCAACCCTGGGGCTCAGCGCTGACTGTCCCATGCCCCTGGCTCGCAGCACAGCCCTCAGGCGGTGGGAGGCAGGGCCCCAGCTCCTCCAGCTCCTCTCATCCTCCCTGGAGAAATGCTGGCAGAACTTGAAGGTCCCTCAGTCAGGGAAGGCCTTGACCCTTTTGCCTTGCTCCTCCACCCATCTGTGCCATCCAGGGGTCCTGTGTTGGCAGTAGCCATGGGCAGCAACAGTGAGTACTGTTACAGCGGTGGGGCAGATGCCCGCATCCACAGCTGGAAGATTCCAGACCTCAACATGGACCCCTATGACGGTTACGGTGAGGGCTGCTCCCTGCCAGCCTTTCCGGCTCTCCTGTCTGCGCGAGCTGTGTTGGGCCCTCCCCATGTGTGCTGCCCACCTGGGGCTGTGTGTGGTGGTGGGTGTAGGGCTCCTGGGCTGGCTGGGTATAGCCAGGACACCAGCGAGAGGAGACCAGGATGGAGGCAGTGGGCCCCAAGGGAACGGGGCAGCTGCAGAAGACAGGCGGGCCAGCATGGGACTGCGGAGGGACTGCCTGGAGGAAGGGGAAGTGGGGCTGGAGAGGGGAGGGGGCTGGTGGGGTGCTCTGGGCTTCATCCTGGGGTCCTTTGGAGTCAGGAGGAGGAATGTCCTCCCTTTCCCGGCTCCCAGCTGCCCTCTGACCAGGATGCCACACGATGTCAGGGGGCAGAGGGCTGTGTCCTGCCTTCCACAGGACAGCCCCAGCCGGTGGGTCTGGGCAGGATGCTGCAGAGCTGGGAAAGGCTCCTGCCCCAGATGAGGGCGCTGAAGGCCCTGTAGGCCAAGGGCTGGGCCCACCACCTTGAGCAGAAGCCGTGTGGTGGCGCTGGGCCAGGCCACAGGGATACTACCACACACGGTGCCCTGGGGAGCCACAGTGAGCAGAGGGGAACTCCCACTAGAGCTTCCAGCGCAGCTTCAGGGCACAAGTGGACAGCCACTGGGCTGACCTTGCCCCTCCGTGTGGCCACCGCAGATCCCAGTGTGCTGAGCCACGTGCTGGAGGGCCACAGTGATGCCGTGTGGGGCCTGGCCTTCAGCACCGCCTGCCAGCGCCTGGCCTCCTGCTCAGCTGACGGCACCGTCCGCGTCTGGGACCCCAGCAGCAGTGCGGCCTGCCTGTGCAGCTTCCCTACGGCCAGTGGTGAGCGGGCGGACGGGCAGGTTAGGGCACCCTGGCACCGGTCTGGGAGCCAGTAGGGCCTGTTGGTAGCCTTGGCTTTTGCCTCCTACCCACAGGGCATGGCATCCCCACCTCCGTGGCCTTCACCAGCACCGAGCCTGCCCACATCGTGGCCTCCTTCCGCTCTGGGGACACCGTGCTCTATGACCTGCAGGCGGGCAGTGCCCTCCTCACACTCGAGTCCCGGGGGAGCAGCGGTAAGGAGGTGCTGGGGCCCGGCCTGGCTTGGTGGGGCCCAGGGTTGAAGACCTCCTGTGACTCTGGGGAGCCAGCTGCCTGCCACTACCCATGAAAGCCCTGGGCCTCCGCGGCTCAGCTGGGAGGAAGTGAGGCCCAGTGGAAGGGCCCTGGGGGAATGGGGAGAGTGCGTCATGGACACCCCACAGGCCCGCCTGCCAGACAGGCCAACCATGTCCGCCCCATCGGGGCCACCACCACCCAGAGCACGGGGGATGAGTGGCCTGGGTCGGGAGTGGGGCCCCAGGTTCCTCTGTCGCCTCTGTCCTCCAACCTTCCTTCTTCCCATCCCCTTTCCTTCCAGGCCCAACCCAGATCAACCAGGTGGTGAGCCACCCCAGCCAGCCCCTCACCATCACCGCCCATGACGACAGGGGCATCCGCTTCCTGGACAATCGCACCGGTGAGGCTTGGGCAGGGCGGATGGGAGGTGTGACCTGCAGCCCAGTCCCAGATGAGGCCCTACCAGCTGCCTGTCTCCCCTCAGGGAAATGTGTGCACTCCATGGTCGCCCACTTGGATGCTGTCACCTGCCTGGCTGTGGACCCCAATGGTGTCTTCCTGATGTCAGGGAGTAAGTAGCGAGCTTCGGGCTGTTGCTTCCCCAGTGGGATTCAAACACAGGCACTGGCCCCTAGCACATGCTCAGGACCCTAGGTGCTGGGCCAGCATCATGCCAGATACCTGAGCGGGCACTGAGGCTGCTGGTCCTGCTCAGGCTCATGGTGCAGTGGGTGCTGGGACTGGCGTCCCGACCTACCTGGTTCATTCCCCATGGGGCATTGAGCACTGGTCCCACACTGCTCAGAACCCAGTGGTGCCTAGAGGTGGGGCGGGGATCTGACCCAAGGGAGTAGGCTGCAGCTGCCCAGGGCCCGGAGGGGCTTCTGACATGGGCCACTGCTGGCAGCAGTGGTTGTGTGCACGCGCGTGTGTAGACAAGCGGAGGGACTCTGGGTGCTGTGATGGGAGCAGCTCAGCCTTGCGGGGCGGCTGAGGGGACAGACTGGGGCTAAGCCAGGCGCAAGGAGATTGAACCCAGGGCCCCCTCCCCAGCCCCATGGATGGGACTGAGCCTCCCCAGCCCCAGGTCCCTCTCTCACCACCCGCCCCCAGGGTTTCCTAAGAGTCCCCCACCCCTGCCTGGGCCAGACCAGGAGGTCCTTGCTCAGCTGTGCCCGTGTGCCATGTGCTCCATGCAGTCCCGTACTGTGACTCCAGCACCCTAGGGCAGGGCGACTTGCCCTTCTTCCTCATTGTATTCCGGGTGCCAGTAAACACCCATACATGTGGGTGACAGGGTAGGGGTGGCAGTTGTGTCCTCGCCAAGTCTAGGGCCTCCGGGCATGGCCTCGGAACTCAAGAGACAGTACCCTGAACCAACCCCGCATCTGTGCAGGCCATGACTGCTCCCTGCGCCTGTGGAGCCTGGACAACAAGACGTGCGTGCAGGAGATCACGGCCCACCGTAAGAAACACGAGGAGGCGATCCACGCCGTGGCCTGCCACCCCAGCAAGGCCCTCATCGCCAGCGCCGGTGCCGATGCCCTGGCCAAGGTCTTCGTATGATGCCCACCTGGCCCCACCCTGGCTGCCACACTGGCTGGAGAGGGGCCGGGCAGGTGGGGCTGAGGTGAGGGGTGGGGATGAGGAGGGGGACGTTGCTGCAGCCCAATGGGGCCCCAGTGCTGTGTGGGGGCAGGGGTGAAGCTGTAGGAAGGGCTTTGGGCTAGCCCACTGTCGCCCTATCTCCTGCAGGGGACTCCTAGCCTCGCTCTGGAGGCGGAGGCCTGGTGGTGCTAATGGCCCTGTCCCCGGAACCCCTCCCTGCGGCACTCCTGCCCAGCCACTGGCCACTGCCCGCTGCTGCTGTCAGAGTTGCTTCTGGAAGCCGCCACAGCAGTACTGGGGTCCTCTGGGGTGTTCGGCTGGGATGCTGGGAGGTGCCACATTCCCCAGAAGTCCCTGCCCTCAGGGGGAGCTGTCAGCCCCTCCTCCCTGACTTCCTGACACTAACACAGGCCTGGGGGGCCCTCCCGCTCCTGCCCCCATGATGCCTAGGAGAGGGGTTAACTGTTACACCTCACCCCTCCCTGGGGTGGTCTTCCCAGCCCTTAGCGGAGACAGCCTGCCTTGGTGTCTCCCAGGGCACACGCGGAGGGCGGGCTCCCTGCCCCCTGTATATCTGTATAAAGAAATGGGATTGTAATGGCCCCCACGTTATCACTGTGTGATAGTCTCCATCGCGCCCCCACCCCACTCTCTCCCTCTATTTATTTCACTCTTTGTTTGGGTTCCGCCCTGTGGCCCGGTCCCACCTCGGGTTCCCGTTTATAAGCCCCATCCCCTGCGTCCCTGAACTTGTATGTGAAAAATTGTCTCAATAAATCCTTTGGAGTAAGACGGGTGTCAGTGCTGTATGCAGGGGAACTGGGGAGGGGGAGCCAGCTCTGCCTGGGCAGGGTGGGGCAGAAAGATGTGAGGGGTTGGGGTTTTGTGGTAGAGTGTGGGGGGGAAAGGGGCCCAGAACTTGGGTGGGGTGCGGGTGGAGGGCGGAAGTGGGGGCACAGGACCGAATCTCCTGGTGCGCCTCCTCTGTCCCCAAGCGCTCCCTCCCTGGGGAGAGCCTCGACAGGCCAGTGCCTGAGGCTCGCCGCCCCGCCTGGGCACATGGCTGGGCCCACATAGGGCCAGGCGGCTGCAGTGCCCAGACCAGCCCACATGGCGCTGCCCCAGATCCACTAGTGAGCCCCACAGTGTCCCAGGCCTCTGCCTGCTGTTGCCCTGGGTTCCCAGAGCAGTTCCGGAGGAGGGAATGTGGCTCCAGGCTGCCCCCATCCGCCTCTAGCCATGGCCCAGTACCCTCCTGGGCCACTCCAAGGGCTGCACCACCTGCTGGCCAGGTGTCCCTGGTGAAGGCCCAGCAGCTCTCCGAGATACACGTGATACCCCGGTGGGGCGTGAGCCTGGTGGGACTGGTTGGCACGGTGCTGTGACATTCAGCTGTAGATCCCGCGCAGGGCGCTGTGGCCCCAGGCTCCGTGGGCTCCACGTGGCCTGGCTGCCCCCCTTCCCCTTGGGCTCCTTGCAGCTTCCCCAGGTGGTGGTTGGGGTTTTCGCTCCAGCCTCAGACTTCCTTCCTTCCTCAGCCCCAGCCCCGGATGTGGTGACAGAATCGACACTACAGACCTCAGCCGCCCCCAACAGCCCTGAGGCAGAAGGAATAGGGGCTCTTCTTGGGGTCCTGGGCTGACCCAGGATCCAGGCCTCAGAGGGCAAAGGTGGTGCCTGGATCTCTTAGGGTGCCCCTGGCACTCCACCCTGAGCCTCACCCTGCCAGTTGGGGGTGACTTGGGCAACCTCTCCAGGTGAACTGGGAGAAGTCTCGGGGCTTCAGCTTCCTGTTTGCGAGTTGATTGCCACCTGCCATTTGGTCACTAAATGAGGAGACGTCGCAATGTCACTTGTTGCAAAAGGGGCCGGGGAACCGCATAGCTGGGGTCCTGGTGTGTGGAGATGGACGGGGATGCCATGCAATCTGCTCTCCCCGTAAGCTCCATGCACCCTTCCCAGCGCCGCGGAGACACATCAAAGCTGGGGGAGGCCTCGACCTTCCCTTCTGTGGAATGGGCTCTGCCAACCGGGTGGTCGCCGCCGGCTGCGGCCGGCTGCGGCGGCTCCTCCCTCCCTCAAAGGCCACGCGCTAGCTTCCGATCCCCGACCCTGCGACCTGCGGCCGACCCCCTCCGTGCGACCCCAGACTCCCCTTGTGCTTCTGGGAGGGGTCGGGGGAGCCCCGAACCCGGCCCGCCGGCCCGCCCCCATTTCCGAGGCGCTGGGCCCGCCCCCTTCCGCCCCCGGCCCCGCCCCATGACGTCACCGGGCCGCGCACCGATTGGCCGCCGGAGCCGTCTCTCTCGACACTTCCTCCTGGGCCGCCGCCGCGGACTTAAACTTTTACAAGGGGGAAAAAAAAAAAAAAAAAAAACGCCGCCCGCGCCAGGCCGCCCTCCCCTGCCCCCACCCTGCCCGCCGCCGGGAACGCCCCCTCCCCTGCGCTCCGCGATCCCCGAGCCAACTCGGCTCCAACTTTTCGCCACCCGTGAGATTCTTCCCTTTCCACCCGGGCTCCGGGGGACCCCCTTCTTCCCATCCCCGGGATCCACTCCATCCTCGCTCTCCCGCCTCTAAGGTGCGCAGCTCCTCGGGTACCCCTTCGTTCGTGGATCCCCGCGCGCTCTGCTCACGCCCTCTGCTTTCCAGGGGCCCTCGGGGGTCACCGGCTCTCTGGATCGCTGTCAACCCACACCCACCCACCCGGGCTCCCCGCTCCGTCCCCCCTTTCTGATCGCTCTTCTCTGCTTCCCAGGCTCCCTCCATCCTCGCCTCCCCGCGCTCGGATCCCCGCGCTCCGGGCACCTCTCCAACGCCCGGGTCCCCTCGACCCCGGGGCTCCCTGCCAGCCGGAGCCCGGGTGGGCGCCGGGTCCTGCACCTCCCCGCATGGCCGCCGCCCCTTCCCATCCCGCTGGCCTCCCAGGCTCTCCCGGGCCGGGGTCTCCTCCTCCCCCGGGCGCCCTGGACGTGCAGTCGCCGTCCGGGCTGCTACCCCAGGCCCCGGGCCCCGGGGGCGTCTCCTTCCACATCCAAATCGGACTGACCCGCGAGTTCGTGCTGTTGCCCGCCGCCTCCGAGCTGGCCCACGTGAAGCAGCTGGCGTGTTCCATCGTGGACCAGAAGGTAAGGGCGTGTGGGCCTGGTGTGTGTGTGTGTGTGTGTGTGTGTGTGTGTGTGTGTGTGTGTGTGTATGGAGATGGGTGGGCAGCGACCTGGGCCTGGGGTGTCCACAAGCTAGGTAGGGAGCTTCGGCAGAGGGGCCCCAATTGGGCCCCTCATTCACCACCCACTTGCAGGAGACCTGGGTAGGGTGAGGTGCCCGGGAGGCCTCCCCAAATTGCGAGTCCCTGCTGGTTGTTTAGCGCTGGGGCAGGGAGGAAGGGAGGGGCCCCCAGGTGGAGGGCAGGGAGGAGGGGGTAGCAGAAACTGAAGCCAGGCCGGCTGAAGGGGATCCGGTGACATGTGGGTGTGGGTATGGGTGCCAAGGGCAAGTGAGGTCTCCCCCGAGCCTCATCCCTGCCCCCTCTCCCCAGCCTCAGGCTCCTGGATAAACAAACAGCCCTGGAGGACCTTAGCTTTGGACACCAGGTCGTCCTTTATACACACATACACAGGGGGCAGGGGGTGAGTCGAAACTGAATCGAGGCAGGTCAGAAGCTACAATACTGGGCTGCTACATTGTTGGGCGCCCCACACTTGCAAGGAGGCCAGTGCGTCTTCACCCAGGACCGTGGTGGCCTCCCTGGTTTTTCTGGCACTCCGTGTTTGAATCCTGCCTGGTGGAAGGTAGACTCAGTAGAAGCCCTTCGATGTTGCAATGTCTGATTGCTGGGGTGCAGGAGCCCCCAGACTGTTAAGATCCTTGTGCCTCGCTGTTCCAGTGTGGGAGGCCCAGGTTTGACACAGGTTCTTCCAGCTCACCTAGGTGTCTAAGATCAACCGTGTACCCACAATCCAGCATTTAGAGCAGATGATTCTATCATGTGAGCACATTGGACCCCCAGGACACCCAAATTCCAGAATTTTCTCCAGCTCTTGAAACTATATCCTATGTATGGGCTGCAGAGGAACACGGGGGAACTGGGCCCCGGCCCCTTCCTCCCACTCCCATCCCCACACAGCCTGCTCATTCCCAGTCTGGAAGAAATTCTTTGTCCAAGACTCCAGTCTGCCGCCTGCCACTCCCCCACACTCACACACCCCACTCCCAGGCCTCACCCCTCCTTTGTTTTTCTGCCCGCCCCCTCCAGGTGCCTTTTCCCTTCCTCCCAGCACTCCACCTGGGCAGTTTCACTTTCAGTTCTGCGGGTTTCATTTCCTGCCCCCCCACACACACACCACACACACTCTGCTAGCCTGGGGGCCTTAAACACCTGGGTTTAGGAACCTCACCTCCGAGACCTTCCTCTCCCTCCAGCCCTAGCGCCCCACCCTCCCCTGAGACCTCCACCCCCTCCTTCCAGGGCGCCCCTACCCGCCCCTGTGCTGGGCCACCGCCAGGTAACAAGGGAGACAGGCAGGCAGGACAGGGTGGTGGTGGAGAGGGGGACTGGGTGCTTGCTCAGCGCCCCCTCCAAGAGGTGCCAAGGCTGCGGGGCCTCAGTTCACCAGTCCTGCACATCTGCTGGAGCTGGGGCGGGGAGACAGGCAGGAAGCGAGGGGTTGCAGGGGTCCCTCGGTGTAGTTCCTCCGGAGGCTGCTGCTCTGAAGCCGTTTCCTCCACCATCTCCCTGCCTCTCCCGCCCTGCAGTTCCCCGAGTGTGGCTTCTATGGCCTTTATGACAAGATCCTGCTCTTCAAGCATGACCCCACGTCGGCCAACCTCCTGCAGCTGGTGCGCTCTGCGGCAGACATCCAGGAGGGGGACCTGGTGGAGGTGGTGTTGTCAGGTGAGAGGCTGGGGAAGCAGTGGGTCAGAAGTTTGGGGTTGCTTTTGTGTAATGTTAGAGGCCCCCATTGTTGCAAATCGGGATCTCTTGCAGGTGCCCTCAGGCCAGGGAATCCCCTAGTCCCACCACCCCCCCTCCTGCAAGCACTGCAGGCCAGGGTAGGGGCAGGGGTACAGGCAGCGCCTCTGGGGAAGGTGGAGCTGGGGTGAGCCTTGCATATGAAGGGGTCCTGCCGCAGCTGCATCCCATCCCTGGCTGGTACATTGAGGGCACAGGTGATGGCAGTGGTGGTGCTGGTGGTGTTGAATGGGCGGCAGCCAGCAGGTAGTCCACCTCATGGCCATTCCCATAGTGAAAATGGGCTGCCTGTGGTTCTGAGCAGGCCCAGGTCCCGCACCCTCACTGTGTTGCTTGGTTCAATTGGGGTGGTTGGGCAAATGGCAATTGCAAGTTTCAGGGGACTCTCTGGGAAATTGGCCACCTCTCCCAACCGTGTCCTTTAGGGTACCTGCTGGACCCCTTCCAGATGGCTTGTCCCAGAAGGGACTCTTGGTCTCCCCCTTTCTCGTCCTGCACATCCAGTGGCTCCCGGAAAGGGCGCCCCTGCCCGCTGGAGTGCTCACACTCAAACTTTGCAGCCTGAGGTTTTGTTTCCCTCGTCCTGGTCCCACCGTTAACATCCTCAGTCCATTTCTTACACACACAGCCCCTGTGGCTTCCTGCCTAGACTAGTGCACACAGGAGACAACTGAGTCAGATGATACACTCCCACATAGAGCCCTCTCCTCCAGGCCACCTGGGGGGGAACTCTGCAGTTCCCAGAAGGTGGTATCCCGCACTGCCTTCTGCCCCAGCCTTGCAGGCCTGGCGGCCATCCCTGGGGCAGAGCAGGCTGC